ACATTTGCTCACGCACCTACTCTCTTTCTCTCTTACACGTACACGCACACACACATACACACAAATATACAGTACACACGCACAAAAGATACTAGAAACGAAAATGGAGAAAACGCGATGGAGATGGTCATTAGCGAACGCCGAATGCAATCCGCGGGCAAAGATAAAAAAAAGAGCTGCTAATTGTGCGCGCTGAAAGAACAAAAAAAAAAGTAGTGTTTTATTAGCGAAGATGTGAAAAGCAAAACGAGTGCCGAGAACTGATGGTTATAATTTGTGGTTTGTTAGCCAGCGGAACCCATTCGAGAGACTGAGGTATAACGGGGCGGCAGTTTTGCCCGCCGCCACACTTATCCTGTCGGAGTACAAACAAGTACGTAGCTCATGTAGATGATCGCCTGCCGTACATATAATACGTTGTTATAATCATCAAAAAAAAAAAGAGAAACAACCCGCCAATACGCGTGTACGCATTATATATTTTTACCTTACTATATATTTATAATACCGTCATGCACGACGGATCGTCTACGTGCGTAACACACGATCGTGCGTGCACGATAGAAACGTCTCGCCGTCTTGATCTCTCCCTCTCTCTCTGAGTCGAGAAATTTTTGACATTTTTGACATTTCGATTTGCTCCGGATGCGGATCTCGCCCGCGCCCGCAACGCGAATGGGAACGGGCCTCCACGATGCGAATGAATTCATCCTAATATTTTAATATTATATCCGATATAATATTTTAATATTTCGATCTCCCTCCCCGTCGAGAGGAACGTTCCCGGCGCACTTCCGTGGCGCCGAGAGATTCAGCCCTCCGAGATTCTATAGATATTTTCGATTCCCGCAGCGATTCCAGATCGCCCTATGCGGATCGGTCCTGGAAGCCGATCGGGTTCTAGTAAACTAGACGGACACTCCGACTTCGATTGATGATGTATAATGACGATTGACAATGACGATGACGACAACGACGACGACGACGACGACGACGATGACGATGACGAGGAGGTCCGTCGTGGCGGTGATACAGACGCTCTCCCGTCCTCCCGAGGGGCGTCTGTCGTCAGCGTGCGTGTTTTTTTTTTCGGCGGCGATGTCACGACGGCGACGATTCGAGAGATGCACGGATTATTATTACATTGAACGAAGTGTTACGTCACACTAATGTGTTTTCTTTGTGTAGCTCAGGGGGGTGTGGGTCGCGGTCGGTGGGCCCTTCCCCGTCGTGCCGTCCGTCGGGGACCGGCGATTATTACCCGGCAGATCCACCGGCCCGCCCGCGCTTTCTTTTTCTCAGTAGCCTAGTGTCTGAGTGTGCTGTGTGTTTCTGTATCTCCCCCTGTCCTCCCTTCCTCCTCCCTTCCTCCGCCCCTTGGTCGTTTCTCCCTTCATGTGTGTAACTTCGACGACGCCGATGATTTCGCATCAGCGTCAATTGCGGTCACATCGCAAAGTGTCGCTCGTACACTTCCTCGTCTATGATACCGTATATTTTTCTCCTTTTTTTTCTTTTTTTTTTCTCTTGGTAATGACACCGGTTCGATTATTAGCTCATGGATACGATAGATCGTATAGACTTTCGTCAACGCGAGTGACGACACTAAAAAGCTTTAGCCCCCTCCTCCTCTCCCCTAGAAACACATCTAGCGACTAAAAACTAAGCTTTTTCCGCTTCCACCATTCATTGATCGGTCATCTGTTCTCTCGACGCGACAGGAACGCCAGGAAAACGGCTTGTGGCGTCGATTTGGACTTTTTTTTCTAGGTCGGTGGTCGATGTTCGTAGTGTAATCCTCGAGAATTGAGGTAACGTGTCGTAGATCTCGATGGTGTGCTGTGTTGTTAAGTAGGAAAAGAAGGGTTGCAAAACTTGAATGAAGTAGCATTGCTGCATCATGCGCACAGTCCTTCTCTCACGTGGCCGGTGTCCTTAATCCTGAATCCGTTTCTGTAGACACACAGTCAATACATTGTCAAATATACGACGTGAGCCTGAAAACAATCTTGCCTTATAGAAGGCTTGGTCGAGCCATTAGCGAAATTGGGGTCGTAGTCTCTCTATTTCGACGATCTGCGCACTTTATTTATTTATTATTACTCGACGTTTTTGTATTTTACTTGCAATTTTATTTTTCGTTGCGCGTAAATTTTTTTTTCCGCATCGACCGACGGACGAAACTCGAAACGTCAAGGGGTTCCTTTCGCGGTTTAATATGACACGCGCTCTTCTCGAGGATGTTCAGGGTGTCTAATTTGATTCCCACTTTCTCTCGAAAATTCAGTAAAAATTCAGTCGACGCCTCTCGCAACCTGACAGTCGCCGAGAGGACGTCGACGGAAGACAATCCTTCCGTGGCTGTGCTAAGCAACTATTATTTCATTTGTATATTACTGTAAATATTTCTGAAGAATATAAAAAAAATATCGATAAAAATAAAGGCTTTTGCGAAAGACGAACTGAAATTGCCGCATTTAGCCACGGAAGGAGTAATTATCGTATCCGGTTGGAATCTCCCGTCACTCTCCCCTCCGCTCCCTCTTTGTTAGTGTGTGTGAGTGTGCGTGTGCACGGTTGGCCAATTTATGCATCGACTTTATTTTCTGTTTGCCCGAGGTCTAACACCGCCGTTGTTTCGTATCGAGTGCCAATTAGAGGGTTTAACACGTTTACACTATGTGGTCTGTGTTGTTGTGACAAGGAAAAAAAAAAGGAAAGAAAAAACGTATTTCAATCGCGCGAACGTCGCGCGATTGTCGGCATGCATTATTCGCGACTCCGATCGCGAGAAGAGAGACGCTTTCTTCGCAGATCGAGCGTCGAAGGGTCAGAGCCAGATCGAGCAGATTCGAGGCTGACGCGAGAGAGAGGAGAAAATCTTTTCTCTCATAATTTAAATCCGAGATGAAATAATCTCACTGGGATTATTCGCGTATTTTCTTCACTCCACCTACATTCTGCTTCTTCGAGTGGAATTTTTGTTACCTTGAATGTCTCTGTCTGATCTGGCCTTGACCGCAGTTTTTTTTCTCCCTCGCAAGACACTCGAATGTCTGAAGCATTCAACCCCTCTCCCACAACAAAACGACGGAGAGACCGTTTCAATCCCGCTCTGAATCGTCTCTCCTGAATCTTTTAGCAAGAGAACATGTCTGATCACAGCGTATGAGACTTGCGTAGTTACGTAGAGAAATCGTTAAGTGTTGAAAACCGCACACAGTGTGTCGAGACTGGCTACCATGCGTGAAGCTACTACTTGCCGCGAAAAATACTTATACTATATATACGTAGGAGAAGCAACTGACCCACCTTGTCTCTCTGTCACGAACGTGCATTTATATTCTTAATCTCCGTTTAGTGCTCCTCCGCTTTTACTTAACTGTTACTCGTTACTACACCAAAACATCACCAAACCACACTATGTCTGTCTCTGTCTGAGCTTCTGTCTTACCCCTATTTACATACTCTGTTGACACTCCAAGCCGTAGAGGAGCGGTTACAAGCGTGCGAATGCTTCGGCAGACTCGCTCGCGAAACGGTTCAGGACTGTTGCGGACCATTTCTAATTGGGTAACTATTGCGAATATCATTTTCGAAATCCGCGTTGGCACCCTCCCCCCCTTCCGCCTCCCGTAGTCGCGAGGCTCTGCTCGTTTCCCTTTGGCGTCGAAATAAATCGTGGAGCGATCGCTAACGAGAGGGTGATTGTCCGTCGATTTGTTCTTTCCATTAAAAATTTCACGATTGATATTCAGATAACAATTCAGGGAATTAGAATTTAAGAACACATTTTTTAATTAACGAAAGCAAAATGCAGCCTAGTACAAATCTCCCGACGCAGAGAAAAAGGTATTCGACTTGTATTAGGTTGCGTTTTGCGAATAATTCCAATTATTTTGATTGTGTATTTTCTCGACTAGTCTGTAGTAACGTAGGGCAAATTGGACCAAAGGTAAGAAGGTAGTAAAAAGTATAATGATTCATGAAAAAGAATTTCTGACGAACTTTTCATTATTAGGTACATTCTATTTCTTTATTTGATTTTAATTTTGATTGAAATAATTTATTTTTTTTCTAAAATCGTGAATTAGAATTAAATCTAGCAACGAGTATTGCTAACGCTAACCGATATTGTTAAAATCAACATCAGTAAATAACAGCGAAAGATACTGAAAGACCTTTAGTCTTTTTGGCCCTATCCTATTACTATATCTCGTTGCTTCATCGATGTTCTCGTTCGCGATCGTTCTCGGCCGATCTTAGATCGCAAGGGATGATAACGCTCGTTATTAGCGTCCCTTAGCACCTTCGTTCGAGGTGACGAAAGGTAGCTCCGTCATCTGCGAGGATGTCCGCGCATCGTCCGCATTCGATCGTGTTGGTCCCCCTCGATCCGACGATCACGAACTCCACATGACGAAACCCCACAAATCGCCATGCGTGTAGGTAGGTACGCATAAAAATTGACGTAGAGATTGCGCATGCGATGGCGGTGACTGAGCCCGTATATTATTCTAGCTTGCACTACTCGGTGGTACAGCGAGATCGTAAAGGAATCGAAGGCCCCATCACCCCCGACGTATTACAACGATTATATTCCTCTCGTTTAGCTCAGTTTGCCCCCGCCCCTCCCGTCGTTTTTTAGCTCACGAATTCGGGTGAAATGCAACCAAGTCGACAGGCGAAGGAACTCACGTCACGGACAAAAAAAGGAGAGATAAACACATACGCGATTATTTAAAAAATATAATTAAAATAAAAGTAAAAACGCATCTGCAAAATCGTAAAAAAAAAAGTAATAACACGACTACAGCTACCAGAACAACGACAAGACCAGAGTACGCCGACACTCAGGGGGACACTCAATAAAAAGGGGACACACCGTAACACACCTCTCCGCGAAAAAAAAGAAAAAAAAATACGAATATACGGCGTGCTTGTGTGTTGCTGGCTTGCCTCCTCGCTTCCTGATAGAACGTCCTTCCCTGTTTTTGCAGCTTCGAGTAATCAGAGCGTTCAAGTCGACTCTGGAAGATCTGGAGGAGCGTCGCTCTGTCCATAGTTTACACAGCTTACACAGTATGCGCAGTTCACGCAGCCACACCGGGCCCCGACCACTCTCTGACTTCACATACATTGACGAAGACCCGACAAACACCGCGCAGAACGCCGCCTACAACAAGCCCTCTAGTAGGAGTGCCGAGCCGATGATGAGTCAGGATTACGAGACAAACTACAGAGGATCCTCCAGGATGCAACAACAGTCCCTCAACAGCCCCGCCTCGCCGTTGTTGCTGAGCGTGACCGGGCCGGCCAACGCGTACAACCATCATTACACCATCACCAATACCATCACCGACAATAGATCCCCCTCTAGTAACGCCCTCAATCAGCCCCTGAGTCCCAACCACATGGCGCCGATGACCAGCAATAGAGACAACACCGGGAATTCCCTGCTTCTGAGTTCCAACAACTTGGTCCTACCGGAGCTGTCCAAGCTCGTGCACGAGACCAGCATCTAAAGACTTTTTCTCTCTTCTCTATGTATCGTCTCATTCCATCCCCCACCATTCCTCTCTACATTTTCTTTTTTTGTTCTTCTCACCGTCGTCGATTCGCGCGCGACCAGAGCTTTATCCCCCTCTCGCCGTTTCTTGCTTCGATTCTATCTGTCCGTCCTTTAATTCGATATCCCTTATTTCGTTCCCCTTCGCTCGCCATTCTTTTCTCTCTCTTCCCCCCTTCTCTCTCTCTCTCTCTCTCTCTCTCTCTCTCTCTCTCTCTCTCTCTCTACTATGTAGAGGGACTTGTACATATTCTGTCCCTATAATCTCTCACCCCCGTATGCTTTTTGCGCGATCTCGCTCGATTCCGCTACCTCGTCTCATTAGACCGGTAAAACGAGGGCAGTATCATCGTCCACGTAAACGATATGGACACACTCTCGTTCACGCGTTTCCTTCTACTTTTTCTCCGCTTTTCAGATACGTCATCATCCGTCTCTATTTCCGCTACCTCTCTTTCCGGGAGCGTACTTATCGAACGATCTTGCTCGTTTCGGTCGCCGAGTTCTCTGTCCCCCTTGATTCTCTTTCTCTCTTCCGTCGCCCTTTTTCTTCGCCCCTCCGACGAAAAACTTCTTCACCACTCGCTCAATGGGGACGGCGGACCTGATCTGATCTCAAAAGGGGTCGAAACGCGCCGATTTGGAAGTTAATGCCTACACACACGAAACAAAGCGCGACATTCGCAAATCACGAACTCTCGCTAAAGTCGAATTTCTGTACTTAAGGCGAACGAAATGCAAAGAAGAGAAAGCAGGGAATGGTTGCCAAAAACGGGGCTAGGGTATGCTCCGCGGACGGTATCGCGACGATTTGCGAATGGCACGTGTTCTCGTGCATGGGCTGTACACTATATATCAGATGGTATACAGGGGTCCCGCTTTACTACCGCTTCTTTCCTCGTACCCCGACTCTGTGTTCATCGGGTGAAAGTACTATTTTCGCATTTTTAAGGTAGCGTTCCAGAGTTCGTCGTCCGTTGAACGACGGTGATACGGGCTGCGACGCGAGCAAGCTGTAAAAAAAAAACCGAGATAGAAGAATCTAACTGCGAGTTATCGCCGCTTATCTTGCGAAACAATACTTTTAAACGCCCGAAAATAATTATCGCTAATTAATTACAAGCTACTCCATGATAATTAATTACATCGCGGCTCATTACGTCGTGGATTGACAGCAGATTTTCGTCTCAAGTGGACTCAAGTACTAGAAATGTGGGGAAACATTTCCAAGTGCTATTACAAGATATTAATTAATGGGATTTTTTTTTTTAGAAAGTTTTTCTAGATAAAGATTTTGTACGTTTTGTTGAACCGGCAATGAATAGCCAGCTGTCGCAGCCCGTGTAAAGTCTGATATTAACTATTAAAACGACCAAATCGATTATCTCAGAGCAATGACGATTGTACGTACGATTGTCCGTATATGAAAATAGTATTTTATCCGTATACTTGACAAACGTAGACGGCGCTTAAGTGCTTGTCCGCTTATCAACCGACCTCGTACAACCGTTTACTTATTTATCTACCTATTTACCTATTTTTGAACTACTGACCAATAATTGGTGATAAAATGATTAAAAAGTTACGTAAGTCTTTACATGTTAATCTCTTACAAAAAAAATTCTAGAAAATAAAAAATGTGTATCTTCCCTCTTGTGACAAAGTAACTATTTTTTTTGTTTAACAGTAAAAGTATTATTAAAATATTTGATTATATTTACATATCTTGTAGGTACATCAAAGATAAAATAACTTTGTAAGTTATGTGAGAAAAAGCATTCAATGAATCAAGGTGGTACTTGTTTCCTCATGAAATCATTTTGAGCGTTCGCCAATTTGACAGTCAGCGGTGATCACCCCCTCTCCCCCCCCCCCCCCTCGTCACTCGTTTGCTTGCCTGTTTGGGATTGAATGTGAATGTGTCTGTTCGTTCGATGACTGCGTGATATGACCAACGACGATCCGACGGATCGTCGTGAACGACGATGATGACGCTACCGGACGACAAATCTACCTCGACAGAGATAAATCCTCGCGGACTAACACTTCTAACTGCCCTTCGCGAGTGCGACTAACAAAGAAGAGTAACTTATCTATCTTCCGCCTTCCCCTGTCTCCCCCTCCCCCGCGTCCGGGGCGGAGATAAAAGACGCGCATTTCGGCGCCGCTCGAGCGACAGCAATCGCTCGATCGCGATCGACAATCGAAAAGGGGTATCCGAGAAGGTGTACCATTTTATACCACGAATCTTTCTCGTCTGTACGCCTATACACCGAAAACTGTATACGCGACTCGAGGCTGAACGTACTTACATCTTCACCATCACGCCTCGATCTCTTCTATCTTCACAGCATCACCGTCACTATCGTGAGCGGGCCTGGTTCTACGTGTCGCTGGTCCTCGGAGCGAAAAGTTAAGATTAATTAAGAATTAATTAAGATTAAGCAAACTGAAGCCGCGAAATACCGAATGCAAGACACGCGCGAGAAATCTCTTTCATGAATTTCGATAAGAACACGTTCCCCATCCAATTTTAATCGTAGTCAGTTTTATAAAAATCCATACTATTTTTCTTAAACTTACATAAACTTCAGAAATATATTAATTTTTAATACCTAAAATTATCCTTAACCTATATATATAACTTCTGAATGTGCCATTGAGAAAACGGATATCTTAAAGAGGAGTAACTCACTACTTCTAATTTTTATCTCTATATATTAAAGAAAATATAATGTTCTAAATGTGTGATCCAAGTAGGCCGCGCTTCACGGTACATCCGGCCCCGCCTCGAATCCTTTCTTCTCGGCGTATCTCCCTTAATTGTTCTATAAAACATTCATTCATCTCCCTCTGTCTCTTTTTCTTTTTCTCTCTCTCTCTCTCTCTCTCTCTCTTGTCTGTGCCTCTTCTTGTCTGTTTCGAAGAACCGAGTTCCGTCGACGATCCTGGCGGATAGGGCCCAAATCTTTTTCTTTCTCTCCTTTCTCTCTTTCTCTCTCGACCGCTCGAGACGAATCCGCGGAGGCCCCCAGAGCGTTGGGAATCGTCGTCCGCCAGAGAATCCCGTCCCCCAACTTTCTCGTTCGAGTGAAAAAGAAGAAATAGGAGAAATAAGTAAGAGGAAAAGTTGTCTATAGCTGAACCGTACGATGAGGAAGGAAAAAAAAATTAATGGTGCGACCGCGAACTATATACGTTAGGACGGTTCGTTTATCCATGTTCTTTGCCGAGCGACAGCGTCGAGTGTGATCGAGCGGCGAATGAATATATTATCGCGATGACGACGTATACGACGATGTCGTTACAGACGGAGAGACGGAGGAGCATTCTCGCTCTCGATATTGTAATATGTAAGTTATTTAATTTTACTCAACTCGTCACGCGCGCGCGCGCGCGCTCTTTTATTTATGAATCTTGTAACTTAAAAATCGAGGGAGTCCCTGTGCCACGGGAAAGGGGCACTGCGAGCGCGTCGATCAACAAAAATTCGATCTGCAGATTTCCAGAGAATCGTCACCGCGCGTGTGTTCTCGTGGTTCCGGGATGATGGAGACCGACGCACAATCCCGATAGGCTTAAATTCCGACGCGCTACTTATTTTCGCTCTTTTAATATCGCTGTGTGACGCGAGACGCGAGATATATATATATATATATACATGCAGATATATTTTTCCCTTTTCGTAGCAGCGTCGGAAAATTCGACCCGACGGAATTTACGTCGGTTTCAATTCCCGTTTCGGTTCCCCCCACGTTCCGTTTTTCCGCGCGAGGAGGGAAAATACCCTTCGTTCTGGAACGAAGAAATGTACTTAAATCGTCGGATCTCGTTATCTACGTTACTTTATTTATCCCACTGTCGCTCCTTCTCGGGTTTTCTCCGTTTCCTTTGACCGTGTCCTCCTCGTCGAGGCCGCGCAAAAGGGCGGAAAAATTTACTTTACAAGCGTTAATTTATTCTACGTAATAAAGTAAATTGACAGTAGGATAATTGTAACTACGATTAATTGTAACTACGGAAGATTTTCCAACGACGAGGATATATATTTAAATTGAAGAAATTTGAATTGTCGATTTTAAATTTTTTAAATTTAATATTCATTAGAAAATTATTCGTCGGAAAATGGATTTTAACGTTGGAAATTACATCGTGATGTTGCTATTATCCCATTGTCATAGTTATCCCTGTCTCCCTTTGTCCCTCTTTCCAACCTCTCGTTCGAGGATCGAGAGATACGCCGAGGTTCAATCGCCGGACGACGGAACGTGGTCGCCGAGAGTCCTTTCCCCCTTTTTTCTCCCCATCTCCCTCTTTTTTTTTGTCCAGTCACTTAATTCGACAGATCGAAAATCGATTTTCTTCGACTAATCGTCGTTGAATTTAAATGTGTCTGCTACTGCCAGCGCGTTAACTCACGTCGAGAGTAATGAAATAAAGATACAAAAAAAAAGATACAAACACAATGCAGAAATAGAAGGAGCTGTGAAAAAGAAATCTTAGTCGTTAGGTCTTCTCCTGGTTGCGACGTTTTTTCGGCTGCCCCCTGTATAAGGCGACGTAAGGGCCGCCCGCTGAGCGGACACCGAAACGCCGAAGATCTTGAGCGTCGGGCCGATGTGTGACAATCATCATCCACGCGATGAAATTGAAAGTTTTTAAGAGAGCTATGCACCGTATAGTACAATTAACGTAAGCCACAGCGTGACACGATTGATTGATCGAAGGTGAAATCGTATTTTGAGTATAATCAGGTGAAACTAGGACGATCAATCATCAATCAGTGTACCGTCGAGATTCAAGTACGATATTTGATAATGGAGTCACTTTTGACAAATCGATATTGGCCGTGTATGATCTTCGAGAGAGAAGACAAAATTCGTCCCTACGACGTAATAGGACTTCAGAGATTCGTGTACGACGGAGAGTCTTCGTTCCGAGTTGTTAAGATTCGAGAGGGATGCCGCTTTCGCGGTAACGGTCTCTCGGACGCGCATCGGCGGGCGATCCTTATGACGTGGGTGCATAAATCGAATTCTTGGTGCATGCCAACTACACAATTACTTTCCGTAGCATCAGAGTTAGAGTTCCGTTCGCTCCTGCAGTCGCGTGAGGTCCGTATTACGTTTCTCGCGCGATAACATAACTTGTCGCGCGCGTGTTGATCAGCTGTCCGACGAAGAAGTCATGAAAACCCTTGAAAGAGACCTTGACAAATTCACTGTTGTAATTTATTTCAAACCAACACGATTTATCTAATGGATTTTACGACTTCTTATTATTTAGAGATTTCAAAACTCCTTAAAGTTTTAATTTTCATTTTTTATTCTAAATTCTGTTTTTTTTTAATGCAATCATTCTCTTTAAAATACAATTTTATGAATATCTAATTAAAAAATTATAAATAATAAGAGCACGAAAAAAGTTTTTTTAAAGAAAAAAATTAAAGCAAGTTTATTTAAGTAAAAAAATGTTTTAAGAAAAATTTGAAGGTGATTATTATTTTTTAAATATTAAATGAGAGTGCAGAGTAAAGATTCATTCGCGACAGACGTAATACGAGGTCTCACGGGCCTCAAACGCGCCGCAAAGCGACGTGATCTGTGTGTTCGAACAGTCCGCCGGTCCTTACTTCCGGCGAGACCCTGCGAACCTTTCCGACCGACAAAATGTATCGGGTTTCCTTCGATCGGTGCGATAACGCAAAGAATCTCATTTTCACAATTAGCGTCGCTTCGCGCCGCGATTGCGTAAATCCGCATACGTGTCGCGTGAATCGCGATAAGACACGCGCGTCTTGTAAAAAACTTATAGTAGGTCCGCACAGGCTGTGGGTCCGTAATTTGAATATCGCGATTTGTAGCAAACGAGAGAAGACATTCTGGTTTTTAATATCGACGCATAATATTAGTCTGTTACCGAAGAAATCTAAGAGCAAATATATACATATATGTATATATGTATACACGTATACACATATATACATATATACATATATATGTGCATATATATAAAATATATTATAAATATGTATAGTTGAATATCAATTTAACGATATGCATAGGGAATATATATATATATTATTACTATATTATTAATTATTATTATTGTTATATAAAATAAAGTTTAAGACAACGTTAATCAAATAACAAGTCCGATAGAAGGAGACCAGCGGAGAGGGTGGTATTTGCGGGATTTCTCTCTCGTATAACTCGAATTCGCGCTTTCACCCTCTCTGCCCCTCCCCTAATCTTCCCCTCTCTTCTCGTATTACTATCGTTTACCACCCCCTCCGCTTCTAAAAGCAGGCGAGGTACATCGAAAACTTGCATCTTCGATGAATCGTACGAATCGCTTTTAGTCTCTCCTGCGCGACGCCGATTAAAAGAAGGAAGAGATTAATTGAAAAGAGTAAAGATGGATGAAGATACCGAACACACGGGGTGATTTTTCAAGTGCGAATCGGTATAGGAAAACGGAAGAGAAGGGAAAGAGAATAAAACGTGTGTATGCGAGATAGGGGGACCGCAGGCCACTGGTCCCCGCGAAGAATTTTTCTCTCTCGACTCATTAATTACTTTATTCACGAAAAAGAAAAAAACAAGAAAGCTGCACAATGATCGATGATGGTCAATAAAGCGATACTAAATCTTTTCCACGCTTGGCTTGTTGCTGAATCAATCTCTCTCTCTCTCTCTTTCTCTCTCTCTTTCTATCTCACTCTATAACTCTTTTTCTGTCTCTTATGACCCAAATTGACTATCGAATCATTCTCCATCTTTTTCCTCTTTCCCTCTGTTGTTCGCGATTCGATCCTGCCGTCCGATCGTCGAAACGCCTTCGTTTTGACCGTTTGTTTGTAACATCCTCGGACGACGCATGCTCTTTTTCCCGATCGACCGCTTTCGACGTTCAGGCCAGCTGGAAAAACCATAGCAATCGAGAAAGTATGCTGCGTACGGCGATCGGTTTAGACCGCGAGGAGAATCTCCGATACGGCTAACAGTTCTTCGGAATAGGGATATATACGTTCGGTTAATTCGCGCGACGATGCGTACTCGCTGCGCGGATGAAGATCTCTTCCTGGCGACTATGGGGAGATCAACCGCGCGATCCATGTGTTATTGAGACCATCTTAGCGAAACATACGTAAAGCAGATACAACAGTACGTCGCAGTCGAGTGCGATCCACGTCGAGCCTTCGATCGATCGACCAACGGCGATCTCTATTACTCTTTACATCTCCAACAATATATTTATATATCTCTGCTAATTCTCTCTTTCTCTCTCTTTCTCTCAATCTACACCACACTATGACTACTATATACGCACATGATCTTCTTGATGATGCCTCTCATTGACGTGTCTAACGCACAATGACGGGTAAACGATAAGACATGGTTTTTCTTTTTTTTTTTTTTTTTTTTTTAATTATCGTTATGTAACTTCCTATGTCTCTTCGTTGCTTTCTACTGTAATCTAAGACGTCCGTCGAAATGCATTGTCTTCGGATCGAAATTGGGAAACTGTCGTCGTTCATTTCTTATAGTTATCTCCTAATTTCCAAATATTTCGTATGAAATAGAAATTTAATCCTGAGATAATTGAACGATAATAACTTCAACGACTTTGGAAACAGTATTTTTGACGATTTACAATTCAGTTTATAATATATTAATACTTGTAGGCGAATTAATACACACAGATTGTTTGCGAAAATCGGATCGAAGTGATTTCACTTGCGCATTGCATTTTAACAGACGTCAAATCGTTGCGGATCCTGTCGCCTGATTTCGATGGTATACTCAGTGAACAAATTACCGATCTTCTACTCTGAACCGACCACGCAACAACTTTGTATAATTTTTTGTGCACATTCTTTTCTTCGTAATTCCATCTGCTCACGGACTTATACCGACTCTCTGTATATCTCTCTACGCTTGTCTGTCTGTACATTGATTCACTTTGGCACGGCACTCTCGCTCATACTTTGTCCCTTTTATCACCGAGGCCGAATTGCACCGACAAACTTTAAAAAAATTCAATCCCGAGAGTTGACGATTTCCTCTCTATATTTCCGTCCAGACTATATGGATTCTATTCGTAGCCTGTAGTTTAGGAAAAGAGGTGAATGAGAGATGGTGATCAGATCGATCAGGATTTATACGGCAATACTCTGACATATTTGTCTCTCATCTTATTTATCGTAATAATTATTTAAAAAATAATTGTCGCGTGCAATTATGACGGCACACAATATCTATAAAATATGCGATCCTCTTTTAAATAGACAAAATTGTCTATAAAAATTTGCTGTTTTATTTATTAAAAACTACTTTTATTAGTTGAAAAGGTTGAGAGCTAATAGCCATCTGGGAAAGTTAATTCGCTATTAATGAAACACATATAATATCATTAGCGAAATAAATGTCGCAATAAAATTCTCAGGCAATAATGTTGATGCAATCGGCTCCAATTCAGCTCCCGGTCGGAACGGATTTCGATGTATGGTTCGATTTCTAGAAAGAAGAAAGAACAGGCCACTCAACATACATATACCAATACCTACGATACTCAACGCAATCCAATTGACGCCGTGTGAAAAAATTCAAAATTGCGAATCGCGAATTTTAACGGGTTGCCCTTTAGAAGTACCGGGGATGTCTCACTGACGACGCGTTTCCGAGCGAGGAGAGTCCTAACACCGGTGAGAGGACGTGACACCACAATCAATCAGATCCGACTACTCTTCACAGCCACACTGATTACTTTGCGCAAACATCAGCATTTCAATGAGACAAACCGTCGAGAATGTGTCACCCTTAACCCTCAAGCTCGCGTTCCGCGTGAGAAACAGACGGTGCCGAGGACTTTACGTTGATCCTTAACTATTACGATGGAAAATGTCGGCACGGAAAAATACAGCAAAGTGAAATTAGTTATAAAAAATATATGGAGTATATATTTGATATTTTTTCGTGATAAAAGAAAGGAAAAGAATTTTAGAATTATAAATTATTAGTGACAAGTGACATAATTAGACATTTTATTCGTAATTACGGATACGAGATATTTATTTATTTTTAACACAATCATATAAGTATATATTTTACAGCAGAACATTTGTTAGATTACGGCAGACTGCAAAATACGCAGAATTTGATATTCGATTCTGAAAAAAATATGTCAAAATGACCGTAAAATCTGTTCCATCGTATCAGTTAAGATTAATACTTTAGTATTAAAATATTATACATTTGTCAAATGTATGTACGTATCTATATTGGATAGAAAATTCTGCAAAAGATTTCTGAAGTTTCTGGATTCGATAACGAATTGATATCATCACGAAAAGATTATCGACACGCGTGCAATATTGACGTAAGAATTAATCATTCATGAGAAAGGGAGAGAGAGTGTCAACATATTTAAATTATTTTGTTGCATGCAGTA